ATTACCTTATTTGGACATTGTCTTATGCCAGACTCATTCCTGAGGATGACTATCAAAGTCCAGGAATCGCAAGCCCCCTTCAGTTCACCTCATTACCATGGTCAATCAAAATATACCACCACATCCTAGCCCATTCTAACCCAGACCGCCCCCTTTTCTCTTCTTAAAAATTACACCTGCAAGGCCATTTGTTGCTGTTTTGCTGCCTGAGTCAGGAAGCAGCCACATTTTTCTTCACCGTTGAAGCCAGTTCAGGTTTCCTAGTAGCTTTGCCCAGCAGGGCTGCATTGAGAGCTTGATTGGACCACGGGCCTGAGTGCAAGTGTCTGAGATGGTCTGCACTGGGCTGTGCTGGGGGGAGGTCTTTTGCTCTACCCATTGGCATTCCTTTAAAAACCCTTTGGCAGAGCCAGTCAAGGCCCAATAGGTTAGGATCCAGGCCCTCTGAAGGCTATCCTGCATTTTCTATCATTTTCTCTCCCCTCTGTCCTTCTAACTAATATTTCCAGCTTCTTCTACTCAAGAGTACTCTGGGGAAATGTGGGGGTGGGGGAAAGCCTGCAACACTTTACCACTTAATAAACGGTTATTCAGTGAAAACAGGTGTTTGTATGTCTTTTGTGCCTAATCCAGTGTCCTGGAGAGAGGAGAGAGCCTCCAGCCTTGCAGGCCTCACTTCACTAGGGAAGGAGATAGAGAGGGCTAAAGGGAAGGCAGCAGGAAAACTTAAGAGGAGAGTGTGGGCCAAGGGATTCAGAATGAGATGGAGGGGAAATGGGAGGGAAAAACTAAGGGGAGAGGGGGAGGGGGAGGGGGAGGGGAGGATGGTAGGGAGACTGACAGTAAGTCAGGAAGGGAGGTAGTAAGGCAGAGAGAGAAGCAGAAAGATAGGAAGGAGTCAGGAAGGGAGAGCAGTAATGGGGGGATGGCAAACTTTAGGTATTCTACCTCCTGTGTCCTTATGGCCTCCTTACTCGGGCATACTCCTGTGTCAAGCTTCCTTCCTGGAATTCCTCCTGCTTCTCTGTGAATACTCAAATCTTAATTGTCTACAGCTAAGAGCATTCTTTTTCCCTCACAGATCACTCTGGTTCCAACTTTATTTAGTCCATGCACTACTTTTAACATTGTAAATAACATAGTTCTGATGTTAACCCAGATTTCTCCATTTCTAACATGTTT